TAAAATCCTAAAGCACCTAGGTCTTCCAATTACCAATTCATAGGAGAAAAAGTAATTTGCTTCAAAGTGTAGACCATGCTACTATAAGAGCAGATAGGAGTACCTCTGATGAGAGAAGCTCAATAGTTTCTGAAAGTTTTATTAATTTTATTTTAAGGGTACCATTGATACTTTCTACCTTTCCAGAAGACAATTGTACTAAGTCAAGGGACACCTTTAGGTGCATTGTCTGCACTGGATATAATGCCTTTACCTTTCTTTTTTCCTGTATTATTTGTCTTTTATTTTGTACTTTATGTGCATACCATATTGAGTTGTTTATATAAGAGAAACCATGAGATAGCTAAACTTGAATGAGTTACTTCACTTAATGTGAGGGTCTCAGTTGAACTTCTGTAGGAATTTAACCTTTTAAGAGTTTAGAAAAGATCTTCGCTTTGTTAAGCATGTTTATTTGGTGAAAAAAATCTTTTAGAACATTTTCTCTGGCTTCCATATTATATTCCATCTTTATGATTGCTACCTTTTCTTGAAGTAGGAGTGCATCTAAAATTATCTTATACATCTTATACTTAATGGGAGGTTCCCACAGAATTGAGAAACCTTTTGTTTCCCAAGCATCCCAAAGATTCTTTCTCCTTCTCTCCCTCTCTCCCTCTCTTCCCTTTTGCCCCTCTTCCTCTCCCTCTCTCTCTCTCTGTCTCCCCCGTCCCTCCCACTCTCCTTACCCCCTCTGTCACTCTCCTTTCCTCACTCTCTGTTTTTGGCCAGTTGAGAAATCAAAAAGCATAGCAGTTCTGCCATCAGGACTGGCTTGGGTAGGGAACTGTATTCTAGAGGGAAGCTAAGTGAGGGGCAAGGGAAAGTCTCTTTTTTACTACTTTCTTATGAGTCACTGAAACAAACTGACAATAGAAATATTAGGAGGTTAACAAGCATATAATTTATTAATGTGTGTAAAGGTAGCACAGGAAGGTGATTGCCCAATAAAAGAACCATGAACTGACTCCTGGCTGTCATGAGCTTCCCTGCTTCAGGCCCTGGGACTGGTAAGCAGTCAAAGAAACTGTGCCTAATGACAAAGATTTGGCAGGTGCAACAGTTCCTATTGTTGGTATTCTCCAGGGTCCCTTTAACCCCAACCATCCAAGATTAAGAACAATTCCTGTGAGAGATGCCAAAAAAGTTACAGTAGCCATACAATATGTATGGAAGCACAGAAACTGTCTGCTAAGCTTTCATCTTAACTGAGGTAGCCCTAGGTGCTCTACAACAGATCCCAGGACTCTGGCTGCAACAGCCTTGAACATCCCAGGTGGGTCCACTTAATGATCACTCTGGATGTCTTCTTCCCTCTGAGACTTTTGAAGTCCCCAAGAGGGTCCACAAAATGTAGGCGATTGTACTTGCATAGTCTGCTCCTCCTCCATATAGGCAGTGCTCCTTGACACCTCTTGGATCAGTGGAGGAGTGCTTTTCCTGAGCAGCATCCCCCTGTGCTACAGGATAGGTCCTAATAAAGGCCTCACTTAAGTGATCCTATTCACCTTGGTGATTGTTTATCACGTAGAGTGGGTTGAGCAGGCTATACTAAAAGTGCTTGGAACTGATACAGAGTATATGATGTGTGGGCCTTCAAATAATATAAAGGAAGTATTATAACTCAAATCTGCTAGATATCTGAACCCCTGAGTTTGTGTCTTCTCTGTAATAGAAGAATGGATTCTAGGAATAATGAAGACTAAGAGAAGGAAGAATTTATTGAGAGAAAGATAGCTTCTGTCTAAGAGAGACAGAAGGGGTCTGGAAAGTGGGTTGCCTGCTGACTCTGTTTCTCAAGGGTATTTTATTGAGCAATGCCACAAGGCAAGGTAGGTTCAAGGTGGAACAAAACTATGGTCAACCAATAAGATTATAACAAGTATAGTCACTTAGGCAATATTGATTAAATGGGAATCAAATCATTGCCATGTAGCAAACAAACATGGAATGAACAAGGATTTTCTGGGAAAGGGTGATTGATGCCTATTTAGAATATGGAACGCTAATGTTTATCCCTAGGAGAAATATGTGAGTGTAGTCATTACTCTTTTTGTTGAATTGTGGCCTTCAGTGAATGTGTTTCTGGCCACAATTGTCTTGTATGCTAAGGGCATACAATGTCTAAATGTCTAAATGTCTATAATATTTATAACTAATAGCTGTTTGCAGTAGTACCACCAGTGGTTATTAACCCTTAAGAGTTGGGGATGCCACAACTATAGCACCATGCAGAGTGAAGAAGACCTGTGGGCTTGTGGGGCCAGGACAGATGAGGCCCCAGGTAAAAAGGGAGCAGGTGGGCTGGGGATTTAACACAGTGGTTCTGGTGCCTACCTTGCAAGCAGAAGAGCCCGAGTTCCAGCTCAGACCTCTAGCAAAGGCTGGGGCAGAAGACAAGCAGAGGGGAGCCAGAAGCCCAAAGCCACTGGTGAAGACGGGCAGGACCTAAGGCCTGACACCTGAGGCCATTGGTGCAGAAGGAATAAAAAAGCTGTGATCTGAGGCCAGCAGCAGTGTTGTGCTAGAGAGAGGCAGTAAATGTTGCCTGTAGGCCTGAAGACCTAACAGAAACCCATCAGCTTCTGCTGTGGGTGGAGCTGATAGTAAAACAGTTAAATTTGTCTCATAAAGTTGAAAAGTAAAATCATTGACAAAACAATAACTTTAAGAGAGTATTTATTGAAATAATAAGAAAAAAAATTCTATGACTATCCACCATAAGGGAATTCCAAAATTGGGGCTGACAATGTGCTTTCTTTGTTTGGGCCTTATATAGATAAGCAGAGTGTGGGAATTTGTTTTCAACAGGAATCTTTGTGGATTTTAATGTTTAACAGAAATCAAGTTCAAATGAAAGGAAACAAGTTACTCTATTTTTAAGTTTTTTGAAGTTTAAGTCTTCATCTCTTTTTTATTTTAACTTTTATCCTTCTTATGTTTAACTTTACATTTTTAAGAGCAACTAATTATATGGCTCGTATTATCTCTTAATTCAGCATGTGTGATATTCTCTTTGTATTTAGTTGACTCAGTCTTAGGCCCGTCCCTGTTATAATAATAGTGGCCAGAAGCTGCCAGGGGCTGTAATACTATGAACTATAATTCCAAGAGCAGTAGCACTAAGAGCTATGAGGTACTAGCACTCAAGGTTCAGAGCCGTGGCATGTGAAGGCCACATGGCATGTGAAGTTCCAACCATGTGAAGGCAGAGTTTTGGATGCCTCCCATGAAATTGAGTTAAAACTCTAAGGGCTTCTCCAGATTGCTTATGCAAAAATAGACAAAATTAATTTTATTCAAAGTTGCCTACAGGAGGAATCTGTTGACCAGCTTTCTTCAAGTTATGGAACCATTCATGTTTTATACTGAGTTGTCACCATTTAAGGCAAATGTGACACTCTTTGTTTGTAATATCCAGTTAAACTTAGAAGCCTCTCCATTGTTTTGTGTTGCACCTATGTTGTGCTGTAACCTTTACCAAAAGAGAATGATTTATTACTTATGTAGATTATGCCATTGCCATTAATAATCACCTGTATTTGGCAAAATCACAATTTATCTTTTGTGAAATATATATATATATATATGTGAAATATATATATGTGAAATACATACATATATATATGTATATATATATATATATATACATATATATATATGAAAGCAAGTAAATGAATGAACTACAATCTACTACAAGTAGATTGTGTACTTGAATAAGAAATGAGTAATATGGAAACTTAGATTTGTTAAGTCTTGATTGAAGACATAAGAAAAGAAGGAAAGGGACTTCACTGACCTTTGGAGACATAACTATCCCCAGGAATAAAGGAAACATAGAGAGTGAAATTTAGAGGGTTTTGTTACCAGTATAGCCAGGATGCTCACCACTTGAAAGCCAATATTTGGGAGATGAGAGTTGGCAAGCAGAAATCGGTCATATTTAAAAGCCTGGCACCCTGAAGGCGAAGAGGGGTCTTCTCTCCTTAGACTTTATCTTCAAGAACAATGAGGATGCCTCCATAGGAAGGGGAAGTAGTTACAGAGAGAAAATTGGCAGGAAAGTACAGTGTTGAATGAGGTATTTGTTATTCAGGGTGTATGTCTCTTTTTTCTCTGGCCACAACATTAACCTCATGGGGCCGGTTCCTGTGTTCTCCTCAATCAGAAATTACTGTTCTACAAGATAAACATCACAAGAATTTACATGCACAGAACTAAATACTAAGGTCTTATGGTCACCGGATTTCCTGTGTTCTGTAAATTTAAAGAATATGATTTAGCCATTATTTAGATGTAGCTTTTCTTTAGAATTTAATGCCAGGTGAAAAAGAAGAGACGTGATTCTAGTAAAAAGGATAGAGAGGGAACTCAACCTTTTAGATGGGCAAAAAGAGGAGAAGCAAAAGCAAATTTGCTAAGGACAACTCTGAAGAAATGTTCACTGCTAGAATTTCAGGTATATTCTGATTGGAGAGTTTTGAATGAGAGTGGGACAGGCTAATTAGTAGTAGATGATTTATATAACTGATTTTAGAAAAATATTTGGCTTTTTCTGGTTGGTTCTTAGTTGCAAGCAAAAACATAGAACATATGAGAGCTGGGACTCATTGGCCAAGGCCTGACCATTTGGGGCTAATTTCAGCAGAGTTTTTGATTCTTCTTCCCTGAATGATTATAGCAGAGTTTATGTATCTGTGTACCACTGTCACATATGTTATACCAATTGCCACTTATATCATCAGCCTCTCACTATTTCGTCTATTAATCTTCTTATATCATTTGTCTCCAACTGCATCTAGAAATGATTTGAAAAATAATCCATGTATGAAATTAAAGTTTTACAGAAGGGAGACTATAGTGTTTTGCCTAACTACTGACAGATACCTGCAAACCTATATATTTTTCTTTAATATTACTAGATTTAATTTTTTTCTCTGTAATTCTTTGTCTTGTTGCAGAGGATCTTGATGATTTAAGAATGGAGGGAGTAACAACCCTGGTGCCTACTGGGAGCAAATTCAACCAAGGCCGTTCTGCTCATCCTGCTGAGCCTCAAGCCAAGGTCACACTGAATATCTGTTCAAGGTGTGCCAGGTAAAACAAGTAATAGTTATAGTATGCATAAATATAATCTTGATGTTTTGAAATGTAAGATTTTGATGCAAAAGGTGTACTCCTCTGTTAGGAAAATCTTTTCTTTCTAATTATCTTTTGTGCTAACCCTGGTAAGGGAGGTAGTTATGCACTTTGTCCTTCCACTCAACAACACTCAGACCAACAATGAATCAAAGGGTTTAGATTGTCTTCACTTCACAGCTTGACACTATTTAAAGTCTTTTCTCCTCTGAATTTCATTTGCTGTCTGCCCTTCTTTTTCCTTTCAAAGGAAGATTCAAAGGGCCCTGAATGTTCAAAGACACTTTTAAAGCACCTGCATAATGAAGAGTTTGCCCAGGTACAGTTTAAGATCTGATAGTATTGGCCTTTTAACCTGCCCTTCATTCTATTCACCTCCTGGAAAGAATTTAATCAGCTTGATGCTTTTCAGTTCTGGCAGCTGGAAGCAATCTTTGCATATAGTATATGTGCCCAGAGAAGTAGTTTCTAGTTACTGCCAAGTCAGCTCTCAAATGCTGGTCTAGCAGAAATTCACCAAATAGCCTGAATTCAATCTTTTGTAGGAACTAAATCTCATTTGCAAAGAGACCTTAAGTCTGTTTAAATGATAAAACAAGCCTTCTAACCCTTATGTAAATGGTTCAGATTAGCAAGAATAATGTACTGGCTGACCAATTTTATCTGCTTTTCTTTATGTCTTGCTGTTCTATTGTACTGTTTGAGAGGGATTAGCTGCTTGGTAATAAGCAGAGGGAAAGTGTAGGAAAATCAAATCAGAGTTTTGTAGTTTTTCCTCTTTTGCTTTACCCCTTTGGACTTTTTATTTTAATTATCCTTGGCTTACCAAAATAGAAAGGGAATCCCTCAGAAAATTAGAGGATGTTGTTCGAGGCCATTAAAAAAATGCCCCTAGCACAGTGAAAATACCAGTGGAACCACTGCTTCAGACAAAATGTATTTAGCGAATTTGTGACTTTTAAAAAAATTAGAGCTGGGAAGAAAACTTGTAATATTTATTCATTCTGAGTATACACGATCATGTATGGAAGAATTATTTGGCACTTAGTTTTAAACTTTGGAGTTTATTTTTGCATTTACAATTTGACTAGAGATGAACTGGTGCCTGGTCTTTCACATCATATATAAAAGATTGAGGGGCCGGGGATTTAGCTCAGTGGCACTGCACCTGCCTTGCAAGTGCAAAGTCCCTGGTACTGCAAAAAAAGAAAAAAAAATTAAAAGATTGTGATAAGAGATATTTGTTTTTTCAGAAGGAAAAGCCTATACAAATAATGTTTTATTAAACTATTGAGGATTTGAATTGGGAAATGATAAACACATACTTGGCCCTAAATTGTCATTTGACTTAGGAAAATAGAGTTATGTTGTAAAGTACAAATCACCTGTGTTAGAGGTGAGTTCTTTTGGTGGGACTAAGACAATATAATTTCAAAGGAAAAGGTCATAATATTTCTTCAAAGGAATGTGAGAAAAGCTATAGAAAAAGACAGTAAGCTATTTTTTTTAGAGTAGCCACTGCAGTTGGAACTTAAAGTAGAAGAAAAACTGAAGACCTAAGAAGAATCCGAGATTTTGAAAAATAAAACATCCTTTTATTGCTATTTTATATCTGGTAGCAGAAGATATAGGTTCCTTGAGTAGAGACCATGGACTTTATTGCTGATAAGAATACCAGCAACCATATTAACATCCTCGGTGATTTCCTGAGTCACAGTTCTCAAAGAGTGACACAAGGTAGCTTGCACTATAGGAGGAGCCTGAGTTTAGGAGACTTGGATATTTTATAATAGATAGTTAGCGTGCTTGGTTGTTGCTTCAGTGGTGGCTTCATCTACCTTCCAAGGTTGTTTGCTATAAAAATATAACTGAGCAGATTGTGTGAAACAAATACCGCCAATATCCATGAATATGAGAGAAACAGTTCTTTCTCATGGAGAACTGTCCTCTAATACTACTTAGGATAAATTACTTTTGTGATGCATTGATATTGTTGTCAATGTTTTCCATCTTTAATTCTCCAACACCAGCTTAAGTCACTGCCTTACCTCTCTTAGTTGCAAGTGAGGAATTTAAGACGTAAGAACTTTACATTTTAAACCAGGCCTGATAATCATCAGAGGCAGAAAGTCATAAAGTAGAAAACTGTCATAGATTCTAATAGTTTTATGTTCTCAGTTAATTTAGGCTGTTACAATAACTGAATAACTGAATGGTTTATAATTGACAAATATTTATTTCTTACAGTCTGGTTCTTTATATTACAAGTCTAAAGTTTGGAGGCCTTCATTTGTAACCTCCAATTTGTAGAAACACTGTGTGGAAGGGAGAAGACTTTCCCTCTATCATCTAAGGCTTCAATAATTGAGTCTATATAAACAAACTGACAATATGCATGTAAACAGAAAAGATATATCAATTTAATATGTGCATAGGGCATCCTAGAACAGCAATATGAAGACCCCAAAACCCAATATTCCTTCTTCATAGGAGAGAGGAAAGGAGAGATAGAGTCAGGATAGGGGGGAGGAAATGACTTTTGGGAAAGAATGCATATTTAGAAAAATAAATGACAGTTTGTGACAAGGTTTTTCCTGTGTATGGTTTCTTCCAGTGGACTTTTAAAGAATATCCAATAAAAAATAAGTAAATAAAGAACATCCAATGTGGGAAGTGGAGGGGACAGGAAATAAGGGAAAGGAAAAAATGTGAAAAAATGAGAAAATGGAAACAAAGTCTTTGTAAATAGGGAAGGATGAAGGGGGTGAAAGGAGTACAGGGGTATGCGGAAAAAACAAGAACCAAGATACATCATGTGAAGGTATAAAATGATAAGATGATAAATGTAACCATACTGTTTGCTTTAAATGTACCAATAAACTTAGTGGGAAAAAAAAAGAACATCCAATGTACTTCGCTATGATAAGAGTTCGTTTTTTCCTGGCTAATGGAACTCCGGAAGACAAGATTGAAGAGAGTTGAGTTTGTTTGGGAGAATCTGTCTTTAGGTAGTTCAAGGAGTTCAGAAAGAGCTTCCTGCTGCATTTGCTGTTTTTCAAGTGTCTTTGGCATGGAAGTAATCAATATAAATAAATAGCATATTTTAGAATGGCATGTCCTGAGCTTCTTCACCTGGAACTGATGGGCAGTGAAGAATCTGGACTGTAGGAATGCAGGTGAAAGAGTCTGACCAGAACAATGGGAGAAGCATACAGTGCCAGGAAGAGAAGGCAAGAGCCCAGTCTCCAGGGATGCCAGGTTATAGGTCAGGACATAATGGTGTGGTATCCGAATGAAGAAAGATAATCATAGCAGAAGTGGAGAAAGAAGAACTCCTGTGCAATATTGCTGCAGATGTAAATTAATACAGCAGTTGTGGAAGCAGTGTAGTGCTCCCTCAGAAAAACAAAACTGGCTTGGCATGGTGATACATCTCTGTTATCCCAGCATTCTGGGAGGCTGTGTCAAGAGGACTGCAAGTTTGAGCCCAGGCTGGGCAAGTCAGTGAAATCCTGTCTTAAAAAAAAAAAATTAAAAAGAGTTTGGATGTAGTTCAGTCTAGAGGCCTTGAGTTCAAGCCCCAGTACTACACACACACACACACACACACACACACA